TATTTCCTCTCCCTTTCCTTTGCTTCCCTCTCCTGTATTTTCCAGCTTTTTCTCATTTTCTTACTTCATTTTTATTTTTTATTCATTTTTTATTCCTTTTTTTTCTTCTTCTTCTTTCCTGTTCTTTATCCATTTTTTTCCCTTCTTTTAACCTTTTTCCCTCTTTTGCTCATTTTCTCTTTCACCCTTTTTTGTCTCCTTTATTTTAATGGAATCTCCATGATTTTCTTTTTCCATTTTACTGTTTTTTATTCCTTTTTCTTCCCTCTTCCCCTCTTTTTCTTGTATTTTTGTGTTTCCCTCCCACTCCTACTTACTTTTCCCTCTTTTTTTTCCATTTTATCTCTTCTTTACTTCCTTTCCACCTCCTTTTCCTTCTTTTTTCCCCATTTTATCTCTTCTTTATCTCCTTTTTACCCCCTTTTCTCTCTTTTTTCTCCATTTTAGCTCTCTTTTACCTCCTTTTTACTCTTTTCTCTCTTTTTTCCCCATTTTATCTCTCCTTTATTTCCTTTTCACTCCCTTTTCCTTGTTTTTTCTCCATTTTATCTCTTTTTTTACCCCGTTCCTCTCCAGAACGTGAAGCTGCTGGACCAGTTCATCTGTCCCCACTCAGGAGTCATCTTCCACCCCATCCACACAGGTGAGGGGACACCTGAGGGTCACCTCTGTGTCCTGAGGGTCACCTCTGTGTCCTCGGGGTCACCTCTGTGTCCTGAGGGTCTCCTCTGTGTCCTGAGGGTCACCTGTGTGTCCTGAGGGTCACTTTTGTGTCCTTGGGATCATCTCTGTGTCTTGAGGGTCACCTCTGTGTCCTTGTGGTCACCTCTGTGTCCTTGGGGTCACCTCTGTGTCCTTGTGGTCACCTCTGTGTCCTGAGGGTCACTTTTGTGTCCCCGTGGTCACCTGTGTGTCCTGAGGGTCACCTGTGTGTCCTGAGGGTCACCTCTGTGTCCTCGTGGTCACCTTTGTGTCCTCGTGGTCACCTCTGTGTCCTTGGGGTCACCTCTGTGTCCTTGGGGTCACCTTTGTGTCCTTGTGGTCTCCTCTGTGTCCTGAGGGTCACCTCTGTGTCCTTGGGATCATCTCTGTGTCCTGAGGGTCACTTTTGTGTCCTGAGGGTCACCTTGGTGTCCTCGTGGTCACTTTTGTGTCCTTGTGGTCCCCTTTGTGTCCTTGTGGTCCCCTCTGTGTCCTGAGGGTCACCTTTGTATCCTGAGGGTCCCCTCTATGTCCTGAGGGTCACCTCTGTGTCCTCGTGGTCACCTTTGTGTCCTCGTGGTCACCTCTGTGTCCTGAGGGTCACCTTTGTGTCCCTGTGGTCACCTCTGTGTCCTGAGGGTCACTTTTGTGTCCTGAGGGTCACCTTTGTGTCCTCATGGTCCCCTCTGTGTCCTGAGGGTCCCCTCGGGCCGTCCCTGTCCCCTTTTCCCCTCAGGGATCTGCCTGAAGCAGCACAAGCGCCTGTCCCAGGCCATCGCCCAGGCCCAGGACCGCGGTGAGCCCCAAGCCCGGGATTTTATCCTCCTAAACCCCCCCGGCCGCCCCCAAACCCCTCAGATCGGCCTTTTCCAGGTCTCCTGTGGCTCCGTGTCCCCTTCGTGCCGGTCCCTCAGGAGGATTTCTCCAACCAACACCCGGCCGTGGGGAAAACTCCCCCGGCGCCCGCCCTGAGGGAGCCGGGCCGGGCCTGGTACCCCTGGTACGAGTGGCAGCAGCCCCCCGCCGCCGAGGTGGCCCGGATGCGTCGCCTTTACCGGGGATTCCTCAAGGAGAATTACCCGGATAACCCCCCAAGCCCGTCGGGGAAATAAAACCGTTAAAAATCCTCCATAATTGTGGTTTTATTTGTCAGGGAAACTGAGGCACGAGGCCAAGATGGCGGCCGGGCTCCAAAATGGCGGCGCGTGGAGGGGAGTATATCCCACAATGCACTGCGGGATGGGGGGGGAATGTTTCCCGCCGTGCTTTGCTGTGGCGCGAAAAGCGGGTTGCTAAGGTGGGCGGGGCTTGTTGCTTAGGACGGGAAAATGGCCGGCAGTGATTGGTCGCGCAGGCGTCGGGGGTGGAGCTTAGCGCAGGAGAGCAGAAGTGATTGGGCGAGGGGTTGCAAGGGGTGGGGTTTGATTTCTGACAGCGGAAGCGATTCGGCGGCGGTTGCTATGGGTGGGATTTGATCGCTGAGGGCGGGTGAAGGGGCGGCAGCCATTGGTGAGGGACCGCCTTAGGCGGGTCCCGGTTGCTAAGGGCTGTCAAATTCTCAGCGACGATTGGCTGACGGTTGCTAAGGGCGGGACTTGGTTGCTACACACGGGCGCGGCCGCTGCAGCGATTGGCTGGCGGTTGCTAAGGGCGGGACTCGGTCGCTAAGGACGGCAGAACGGAGCGCAGCGATTGGTCGGCGCTTGGCCTGCCCGGCTCCGATTGGCTGATTCCTCCCCG